CACACTGTATTCTCATTTGTATCTCTCACAATGCTTGAAAATTAGTTGCTCAACGTCCCTGTTCCCACTAAAGCCTGTGCGCCACTAGGATAATATTCTGGGTGTCCGTCTCTGACCTCTCCGTCACCTCGGTAACCAGCAAAAAGCCACAGGTGTGTATTGAATGAGTGAACATAGTCCCCTGGGTCTTTATATCAGTGAGGTCCAGGCAGAAGCCCACTTAAGGTGTGCCACTGAGAAGAGTTTCGGAAACGGACCATTTGTAAAGGTGGCTGCAGAGTGAGAAAACCAATGACAGACGGTGAAGCCCCCAGGACTCTCAGTCATGAGGAGAATCACCACTCCCAACCATCGAAAGCGAGGAGTGAAAGGCGGGTGGATCCTATGAGATCTGTAGCCACCGGAGAGAGTGTGGGCGGTCTCACCCAAGTCTGAGAAATTGTGAGCCATCACCACCTCACTCACAGAAAACCTCTTCCACTTGAATCCTTAATACCTCAAATTCTAAATCCTACAGAACAACACCATGTTTCAAGCCACTGCAAATGATAAACAAAATCATTGCGAAACGAGTTCCACAGGAATCAAAGGCAAGAAAAGGCCAGAAAAACTAGAATTACCTTCCCAGCAGAATCACCCATTTGCTGTGGGATTTCAGAGATGTTTTCTGAACTCCTCATATCTCCGTGCCCCCTTTATAAAAGTATATGTACTATTATTATTCCCTCCCCCAAAAAATTATTTTGCTTAAGGAAAAGAAATGCCCTTAAAGAAAAATACAGATGCCAAAATCGTGTCCTATCAGCCAACCTCCACCAGGCTGTGGAATTCTCAACAAATGGCTGGTGTTGCAATTCTTTTGGCTTTGCCAACCCTCCGGGGTAAAAAAATCTTCCCACAAGGGCTGGAGGCTTTCAAGTGGAGGAAATCTCTGAGAAAAATCTGGGTTGATGAGCAACTAAGAAAAGCCAGGAGGAAAGGCACACATCTATATATGTTTAGGCAGAAAATAGAAAAAGTTGAAAAGCAATGTTTCTAAAATGCTGCTTCTATGAAAGCAACCTTCTGTTACTCCTTTACTCTCCGGTTGACTGAAAAAGGCAGCGTGACTCCCATTTTCTATGCACGTCCCCTTGAGCCCTGGCAAGGGAGTACGGCTGCATGCAGCTCTGACCAAGGTGGGCTTGGGTTCAAATCTTGCCCCTTGATGAAGGGACACTGGGCAAGGCACTCACCTTTCTGCAACTCACTGTTAGCCCATGAAAAATGAATAAAAACATCGAATTTGCTGGACTGGGGGCAGAATTATAAATCATGAAAATAAAGTGTGTGCCAGCCAGTGGGCTCCTAACACACGGTAGTTCGATCTAGCACAGACTCTGTAGTTTGAAAATCAAAAGAGCTTTTTTAGTTGAACAAAGATCTTTTGAGCAGCTACTATGGGCTGGGTGACAGATGTGACAAAGGTGAGACAAGTTCACAGTGGCCCTGACCTCCTGACCTTAGAACCTGGTGAAGAGGAGATATTACTCAAGTCATAACTAAAGAAATACATAATTGCCAACTGTGATAAATGTTATGAAGGGAGGAGAGAGCCTGCTCAGAGAGCAAAATGGGGAACCTAGTCTGGTCAGGAAGACCCTGGGCCAGGAAGTGAAGGATGAAGGATTAACTACGGCCGTGGTGACAGTGGGACCAGCATGTGCTGGAGGCCTTGGGCCAGAAGAAGTGTCAGCCTTTCGAGAAACAGAAGAAAGGCCAGGGCGTTAAAGCGTGGGAAGGGGAGATAAAGCTGGAGAATCTGGTAAGACTTCCCTGTAAGCCACACGAGGGATGGAAAGGTCACGGTCACGGTCCTCTGAGAATGGGAAACCACAAAGCAAACGATGGGCTCTCAGGTCTGCAAATGACATTCGCAATAAAACTCCACGGCCGCCCGCTTTTCGCCGCTGGATCCCACACCATTGAGATGAGTAGCAATGTTTTCATGATTGCAAGGCATTCCAAAAATGACATACACACGGATGTTCCAAGAGAATAAGGTGGAAGTGCATTTATTACTCACCATTTACCACCTTGGGAAATATCTGCAATTACTTGTAAGTTATTAAGCCTTTGGATCCCTGGTATTCTGAAGACAGCCACGCCAGTATCTCCCACAGCGTACCCAACACGCCTCTATTGCATAAGCGACAGTGTCTATCAATCTCCTTGACCTCGGGCTGACATTGCTCACTGCCTTGACCAACAGGAAAGTGATACCATGGGACTCCTGAGGCTAAGACATAAACATGCCATGCACTCCTACCTTATTCTCTTGGAACCCAGCTGCCATGCTCTGAGGAAGTTCAAACCAAGGCACATGGAGAGGCCACATGTAAGTGTTCTGGTTGACATCCCAGCTGAGGGTCCAGCCAACAGCTGGCATCAACCCCAGACACGGGAGTGATATTGTCGCCAGATGACTGCAGACCCAGCTGTCAAGTCACCTAGCCTTTCAATCTTTCCAGCTGAGGTCCCAGACATAATGAAGCAGAGAAAAGCCATCCTTCACTATGCTGTCTGAGCCAAATTATCCATGAGCAAAAAAATAAAATAACTGTTTTATACTCATACATGTGGGGTGGTTTGTTATGCAGCAATAGTAACTGGAAGAGAAAGTATCTCAAAGTATGTGTGTATGTACTAGTATATGTAAAAGTAGATAGATAGATAGATAGATAGATGTATAATTTTTCTTATTCACTATTCACCTCTCAGGAACATTCTTCAGGGAATGGTTACTTCTGAATTAGAACCCCTGTGCTTTATCCACACCACTTCTAGAATAAGATGACCAGGTTCCTTACTTCAAAGAATAACTAAACACTTTAAAAACTCAAAACATACAAAAGTAATCCATCCCCACTGCCCAAAAAAAAAAAGAAAAGAAAGAGAAAACTCTTGTTAGCAAATCTGACAACTTATTTCAATTGGCTTTGAAAACAGAGATAAAAACGAGATCTCCATCGGGGCAACTAAACAGGGCACCCAGGTTCTTTCCTTCTCCGCTGCCGAAGGTTCACACAGCTGCAAAGAGTGTTTGCTGATTAAATAAGGCGATGCCTATACAGTGCACTGAGCACAGTGACTGCCTTTAGAGCCCACCAGATTCCAATTATCATTATTCCTTTGTTGTTGTGAGAATTAACATTTTTCTTGATTCCAGCGCTAACCCTTTCGACCTAAATTTAACAATGCTCCTGTTTCGTCGCAGCAAAAGAGAACCAATACTGAGTTTGGTTAAATGTCAAGAAAGGGACCTCAGGTTCCATATGATTAGAAATATTATACAACATTATGTAACAAACCTCTATTTAGATTTAGTAAAGGACTGTCTTTTTATTTAAAAAAAAAGTCAGTATGTGTTAGAAAAGAGTGTTCTGGGAAGTTACCCTTAATCAGTGCATGGCTTTCAGGTGAATAAATCAAAATATTACCTTTGATCCTTATGAAGGTACCCCCTATAGGGTTACATAAATATTACAAAGCTGCACCACATGGTGATAGGAATACCAGGGGACAGAGGTGGCATCAAAGAGCCAGGTCCACTCAGGCTGGTTTCTTCCTCTGCTCATCAACTGCTGTGTGACCTTAAGCGAATCGCTCAGCCTAAGTCACAACATCTTTTTAAAAAGGCTAAATTCCAAACTTCTTTCCATCCTGAAAGGACCCTTAAGTAGAGTAGCACCAAGTTTCCAGGGTGATACTCACTATTCAAATGCCTAAGTACGTTGAATGACAAACTCCCAAGCAAAATAATCACTTGCAGGTTCACACGCATTAATGAAAATCTTTGAAATTATCTCAAAAAAAACCTGTGCCTTGCTGCAAAATATTGCTGTGCATCATGCAATGAAATTACTAATATATAATAGGAAAAAAAAAAACGGTGATTCAACACAGGATTATGACGAGCATGTCATTTGGGGGAAATAAATGGAGGTGGGATGGCACCTTCTTAACACTGCAGGCTTTTCTCTGTTATCTTCAGGTGCTTGGTGTGAGGGTCTTCTTAAGCCCCACATTTATGGTAGGGGTGGAGAGAGGACAAGAGAATATGAATTGTACGAAGAAGAGAGATCAAGAGAAGGAGTGGGGGGAAGGGCTATGCTTTGGAACTAAATCTGAGTCACTGGCACCTGAACAGAAATGTCACTGCTAGGGAAACCATTTCAAAATGACATTCCAGTCACCAGGTTCCCAGTTTGCAGCCTAACACTCCCTCCCTCCCCCGCCCCCCCCCCCCCCCTAGAACATCCCAGGTATCTCGGGGCCCAGGCAGCCCCCTGCCACTGATGGATGTAGTTGTATGGGTCACATTCCCCATCCTGAAAAAGGTCTTTCCTATCCTGGAAAGTGGTGGGAACTCTATGACTCATAGAGCCCAGACATGCAAGAAAAATGGCCGGCATGTACGTGACTTGAAATGGCCCTTTCCAAAGGTGGCATGAAGTACAGACTGGCTTTGAGTCAGAGAAATTAAGATGGAAATGGGGTTCATAAAAACCCTCTTGGTGAGAACTGGCAGGTCTGACTCTGCCCTGGGAGAGGGGTCCACTCTGCTCACCCAGCACAGAACCCTACCTGATGTCAGTCCCCACGGCCAGACGACCTGGGAATCGGGAGCGATAGGGAGAGGCGTGGAATCATAGCAGCTTCACTGAAGACCAGAACCGGCTCTCATATTACCATATATGATGAAGTCTGTCAACAGGTCTGCTAAGGACTGAACCAAGATGGACCATCTGCTTTCCCCACGAAGCACGAGACAGCCAATTTGGGGGAAATCCCTTAATTGATGGCACCTTTAAAAACATCTTACCATCAACATCCAGATGCCTTTATTGTGCACTTCAGAACACACTTGTGTTAAAGCTGTGTCTCTCTTAACCCCAAAGCACTAGTTGTAACAGCTTTTTCTCACAATTATTCTATGACTATTTTCCCAGGAAACATACCGCTTGATTGGCTGGGATATAAAACCATTTTACAACAATTATTCTTCCAAGTCTTTCCTCTGTTTCTTAGACAGCTGCACCCCACGGTCCAAATTGTTTTCGGTGGACAACTGTTGTGAGCACATTTCTCCACAAGAGCTATTTCAGCGCAAGGAAGGCCAACGACAAAGATAAAACAAAAGTTGTGGGTGAGAAGGTGGCCCCACTGCAGGGCAGCATGAAAGCGGAGTCCAAACCCTTTATTCCAGAACGGCAAGTCCACAGAACAGATCAGTCTTCCCAGTGACTGGTTAGTTTAAGAGAACAAGTCCGTTCCTAAACCCCAGCCAATGGCCAACACTTTTTTCTTATCTGGAAGTTCCCAGCATCTGTTCTGGAAAGGCCGGTAGGGAGCTTTCTATCTGGTCCACCCTGTGCCTCTTCCATATGGAGAACACTTGGCAACTATGTGTTCACCAGTCAACCAGCCCTGTTCACGTCCTCAACCCAAAGCGTGTACAGGTGGTTACCTGCACAGGTAGCGAATCTTACCAGGTCAACTTTATTGGGGGACTTGCTTAGGCTGACAGTCTCTCCAGCTTGTGGCTAAGTCCCTCCAAAAGACACCGGTAAGGGTTCCCAGGGCCAGCCAAGCACCCAGCGTGCTAACTACCCTGTGCGCGCCGCTCGCCTACAGAGCCCTCTCTGCCCGAGCCCCACGGAGGGGCAGTGGGCTTCCTCGTGCCCGGCGCCCATGCCCCTGGCCCAGCCTGCGCGCCCGTGCCCAGTCCGGGAGCCCCGAGCCGCTGGAGCCGCAGCGCCCACTCCGGGCAGGCGGCGAGCACTCACCATTATGCTCTTGCATGCTTGACAGCGACCAGAGCAGCAGCGCCACCAAGGCCAGGAAGCAGAGCTGGCTCAGCAGAAGGTCCCTCCGGCGACTCCGGCGACGCTCGCGATCCTCCTCCTCGGGCGACGGCATCCTCGGGAGGCAGGGCAGCGGCCCCGGCGGGGGCCCCGGCGGGCGGCGGCCGCTCCGGTCGCGGGCGGCCGCGGCGGGGACGGAGGCGGGAGGCAGCCCTGCGCTCTGCAGCCGCGCGTTCTCGCTGCGCTCCCGCCCAGCCGCCGCTGCAGCCTCCTTTGCCTCTTCCTCGCCGCTGCCGGTCTTCTGGTCTTGGTCCTCGTCGTCGCTATCGCTCAGTCCCTCCTCTCCCTCCTCCTCCTCCTCCTCGCCTCGGGCCCGCGCCGCCGCCTCCCGGCGCTCCGGGTCCCTCTCCTCCTCGCGCGCCATGGCTCCCACGCTCGGCGTCCGCGCTCGGCCCCGGGCGGCGGCGCGGTGGGGGCGGCGGGGGCGGCGGGGGTGGCCGGGAGGCGGGGGCGGCCGAGGAGGAGGAGGAGCAGGGACGGACCGGCGGGAGGAGGCCCTGCCGCTGGCCAAGTCTGCCGGCTGGCGAGGCCACCCGGGCTGGCTCCGGCCTCACCGGCTGCAGGAGCGCTGGACGGGACCGCCCGCCTACTCCATGGTCCGCGCGCGGGGAGCTGGGGTCGAGCGGGGCCGGCGCGCGCGGGGAGCACCGAGCGAGGCGGGAGCACGGAGGGCGCAACTCCCCGCAGCCTGCAACGCACAGGGACTCGGGCGCGGGCGGGGGGCAGCGTGGGACGTAGCCCAGCTCTGGCCAGCACCGCGCAGAGGGGGCGCGTGGGGAGGAGACAGCTGAGGTGGGAGCCCGGTGCGCAAGCCTTCAGTCGTTTCTCGCCAGGGGAAGGGAAACCCAACCCGCCACTGAAAAGCCGGTCACCAGGAAAATGGATTCACGGGAAACTTTCGGAGAAACCAGGGTTTCTTGAGCTTCCTACCTACCCTCTGCCCAGAAAGCGGGCGCCGCGAGTGCAGCGCGCTTGGCTGCGCTCGCCCAGCTATCCGCCTCGCCTCCTCCTGTGGGCCTCCTGGGTTTCCCGCCGCCCCCTTGTGGGGATCCCCCTGCACGCCAGTCTCCGGACCTGGAACAGGGCTCCCCAGAGGCTCTTGGCTCACTGGGGGTGTCCTGGCTCCCCCCTCTGGCCCCGGCCCGCACTTCACTCCTTGATAAAGCTTGGGCCAGGGAAGTGGGGCAGCTGGCACTGTCCCTGGATGAGGCGGCCTGGGGGTCCCTGGCCAATGGTGGGAGGGGGCTCCTAGGCTTTAGGCTTTCCTCAGGGAGCTTTAGCGAGCCCCTAACTCTGAGGTCAAAGCCCTAGTACCCCCACTCCCTTGCCTTAAAGGTGTTGACTCTCCCAGGGCCTGGCTAGGTCCACAGCCCTGCAGAAGGTAAGGTGTGCATTTAGAGAGGACACCTAGCATGTCAGACACCCCCACCCTCCTTCTCAGGCTTCCTGGCTTCTTCCTGGTGCCTGCCTAGGGCTGCTGGCTGGGATGGCTGGCGGATACAGCCCTGAGAAGGAGATGCATTTTTGGTGAGGCTGAAAACTAAAGGGCTTCTCAATAAGAGGATCGCTTGTAAACCAGGTGTCTAAGTGTCTCCACGGAGTCCAATCACATGGGGGTATCTAGTTGCAGGTGTCTAGGGAGGTGAGAAGGAAGGAGGGTACCTCTGTACAGGTTTCTCCACTCCCCCACTGGGAGAACCCACAGCCTCCAAGTGTGTTCCCACCTGGGTGACCTCCCAGATGACAGCTTCTGGGGACATAGGTGGCTTCCCTTCCACAGAGAGGCCATTTTACCTTACAAGATTGGAAGACGTTTGCTTCCCGGTCGTATCACTTATTTACTCCTGTTTTCAGCTTGGCATCTTGCCAGACACAGAGCGCACCTTTTCTACAATGTCCCACCATGTGGTTGTCCCTTTGCTTTGATTACCAGGTAGAGAGAAGGGTTTTAAAAATCTGTAAGTACATCCCGGCTGGTGTGTGTGTATGGTCAGGGGCGGGGGGGGGGGGGGGGGATTCTCCAGTTGCATTACCTTCATCAAACATTCGAAGACACAGAAATGAAAGTGTAGGAGCTCAGAATACTGTCTTTCATCCCACTAACCAGGAAATACACTGGAGTGGCTTTTTCTAGTGTACGTAGGGAAAATAAAAGTGAGAGAGAGAATCTGGAACTAATTGGGTTAGAGAATGAACACTAGCTCAGGGGAAAATTGCCACAGGCAAAGGAGTTGTGTAATCTGGTGATGGGAGAAGCATTAGGAAGGGAGCAAGAAGGGGGAGAAAGCAAGGATTGGCAAGTCCCTGGAAATTCTCTCAGTACCTGCAGTAAAAGGAAAAAAGAGCTGGGGGGAGGAGGGGGAGAGGAGGAGAGTGAGAGAGATTGCTCCTTGGCACATAGAAATTTTTTTGTCAATATTGACAGATTTCAGAGCGCAGGGGTGTTTTGAAGTACAGCAAAGATAAAGACCCCAGAGGAGCCAACTACTGCCCAGGGAGGAGAACCGGGGACTTCTGGTCGGCACTCTGGCCGCATGGAGGCTGGGGGCTCCTGACCCCTCGCTGCCATGCTCCTCTGCAGGAAGAACAGGGAAGGCCCTTCTCTGGTCAGGACGTTCCTCTTCTCCCCTCCCTCCAATAGGTGTGCTTGGTGGGAAGTAGGCCCTCGAGTCTTCGGTCATCACTGGACAAAGGGGCCAGACCCCAGTCACTGGGCTCCTTTTCCAAGGAAAACAGTTACTTGTGCCCTGTCTCTCCCAGGAAGCTCCTCCAGGAAACTGAGTTTGGTTAGAAACAGAATCTGTCATAACTAATGTGCTGCTTATTTATCCTTCACCATCAGGATCCTCATCAATCCAAAGGTAGCTTTTGCTTTTTTTTTTTTTTAATCTTTTTGGTGTCACATTTTGTTCAGTGTGTCTTAGGGAGAAAATTCCAGCCCTAATAATCTGAGCATTAGCTTGGAAAGAGAGCTATCACCCCAAGATGTGCTCAGGCCTTCACCCAATCTGGAAATGAGGCAGGCGTGTTTACGGGGCATGTCTTCATCTCTGGGCTAGGTGCTGGGTGTGACCACTCATGCCCTGTTTTGACCTCCCGTAAACATTCCAGTTCTGTGCAAAGATTTTGGGCCTGATGTGCAGTCGTGGTAGTGGTTTATCTTTCTCAAACCTCTGCTTTATATAATAAAGAATAAAAAACCTTCCATGACCACATTCACTGTCACTCAGCCCAGGCCAGCTCTCAACCAGGAAGCGGAGTGGGGCTTTATCTCCGCCTAGACAACCAGCATCTGCTGGGCCCTCCTGCAGAATGTCCAGGTCTCCTGCCTCCCCTCACCCACAGCGCCCAGACCTGACAGAGCAGTTCCTATAACAAAGCAAGGTTGTGTCTCCGTAACACCAAACAATGCCACTTGTGTCAGATAAACCACTCTTCAAGGAGGGAGGAGAAAAAAAAAAAAATCAGAGAAGCCACTTGCTTTGGTGAGATGCCTCCTGGTCACGACATTCCGTAACAACAGGGAAACGTAGCCCAACTAAGAGAGGAAAGACCAATAGATGTTCATAAAAAAACCTTTAAATACAATAAGGCCAAGTGTTGGTGGATGGGGGGATAAAAGGGAGGAACTCTGCCATGGACTGTTCCTGGAATGGTCCCAGATGCAGTCCCCCTTCCGGGCATGCCTGAAGACTTCAACGTCCAGGCCTCACCCCATTGGTCACGGCCTAGCTTCGGGAAACAACAAATTCACCCGCTGCTCTTCACGCCTGACATGTCACCCTACGCATGCACAGTCACTCAGATCTAGACAGAACCCCAACTTCACCCAGGAAGGCCTGACAACTTATTTCCTTCCACATTCTTGTTTGCTGCCTTTATCAAAAAGCCAGTAAAACTGCTCCTTTGGCCAATTTCGGAGCTGTGGGTATTTTGAAGGACACAAAGTAATCACTCCTATGAGTGTATTCATCCCACACTCCACATCATGAGGCATTTGAGGGCACCAGGTCTGCAAGTTGGGGCTCCTGTTAATGTAAGTGTTCAGTTTACAACTAGAGTTCAAAGAAACTGCTTATTTTATAGTTCTTGCCAATTTTTTATTTTCTTTTTGCCCAACTGTCTGCATTTGTTTGGTGATTTTGACTCACTACATGGATATGACTGTAGATTTCTTTTTTCTAGTGAACCATTGTCATATTCACAGCTGTCCATCATCTTTTTTTTTAATTTACTAAAGTATCATATACATGCAGGAAAATGCATAGAGTTTAAGCATTGACTTTGTTTATGTGTATACACCCTACATGGGTTCCAGATCATGACTTAGAACATTTCCTACCAACCCCTCACCAGGCAGTACAGACCCTCTTCCCATCTCTTTCAGCCTAGGTCATTGTTGCCTGTCCTTGAACTTCAGGGAAGCGGAGGAACTTTTGCTCAGCCTTGCTTCGGTGGAATCTGTCCGGGATGGTGTGTAGAGCTGGGGTTTGTTCATTTTCATGCTGCGTTTAAGTGTGGATTTTTTTTCCTTTTTTTTTACCTGATGCTTCAGTTCCCTTCCAAGTTTAGTGTAAGCCAAGAATAACCCAACCACTGCGGCTGGATCAGATACAAATGACCTTCCAGATTAACTAGTTTTATAAGGAACTTCAACTGAAATTGAACCAGTCACCCGCTGCTTCTCAAACTGGTTACACTGTGTAAGGAGGGGCCCAAGGGTAACTGCAGGACAAGAGGTCAACTGGCAGGCTTAGGGGGTCAAGTTTTTTAAGACAAGCATAGAAGAATTCCAAAGTGTGCATAAAATTGGAGGCAGCTTTTAGTGGAAAAAGTCAGCACAGTCCATTTCCTGTGCATTCTTTCCATCCCCTTTTCCTTCTAAATGAGAAGGGAATAGGTGCCATCAGGAAAGATTCCCACCCAGTCCATGGCTGAGCCACGGAGCATCCTTTCAGTGAAACGTGGACAGACACTAAAAGTACAAGGGAGCTTGTTAGGAATGTCCATGACCAAGCCCATCCTGAGGAAACAGGATTCAGGAGGCCTGGGAACCTGCATTCTTCACAAACTCCCAGGGATTCTTCTGTGTTAAGTTTTGAGATCTGTTTGAGAGAGAGAGAGAGAAGAGAAAAAGAGAGACACTGGCATGTATTTTAGTGGATCTTGAAGGGCAAATCTAAAAGGGAAAAACATATTATCTAGCTAGCCCCTTTTGGTCAATATTTTAAATTGACTTTTGTGGGTGTTTGGAAGAAATAAAGACAGAGTATGCAAACACCCCATACCTGTGGCTGTATCTGACTCCTGTTTTGCATGAGTTCTGTGTTGTATTTTAACTCTGAGAGGAAAAAATAATAATCCAGAGCATGGAAAGAATTGAGAGGTTAAAATTTTAAATCCTCAGAGGACAAAAA